CAGCGTTGACAAAACTGATGAAGAGCAATGAGCGAAGAGGAAGAAATTACGGGTGCAGAGGGAACACAGTGTTAAGAACGAAAGTCATCTTGATAATCATTTAAAACATCTCATCCCTGTTCGTGCTAATTAGTCATAAAGAAAGAGTCAGCCGATTCATTTTCCGCGATTCAGTAAATAATTGAGGCATCCCAAGCCGAGTTTTTGTAATTACCTTAGCAATGAATGACCATAAACATCGTATGGCAGCCACAACACCAAAGTATTCATAGAGGAGCGGCATTATCCGATTCAACAAGCGATGCCGATGGCTCGATGGCTTCTTTGTTGCCAAGATAAATGAGCTGCATGATGATATATGAGAGGATGAAGAAAACAACACCAAACATGAAGATCATTGCATCACGCATCGGATATGGATGAACGGTGAGGAAAAGCCGGAACTGCTTAGCTGCCCATACACTCTCCACCCATGTCGAATGCACTCCTGACTGCATATTGTAGTCTGAAAGCCAAACGATATTCGTGCAAGCGCAGTTCGTGGCACAAACTCACTGCACATACGACACTCAATAAGTTCCTTCGATAATGAATCAAACATGTTTTAGCAACCAAGCGAAACATCGGACACTTGCACAGTGAAAATGCTATCTGCCTATGATAAACTGTGGTATTTCTTACACTTAAATCAACTGTAACTCGTAATTTGATCTTCAACTCCCAGTCGGTAAAGTATCTCACCAAGCTCTAAAAGCAGTAACTTTTAGAATGAAATGATGCTCAAGAAAAAACACGGACATCTCGAAATGGCTCAAGCCCAGCAAAGTGTTTCTACTGGTAGAACCACTGAGCAGGGAATCCTTTCAGCACACGAAAAGAACATCTAGATCTCGAGGAAGCTGACCAACAGGCGAAGTTTTGTTAGTCAAACAAACTAGATTATTTGCCAGATGCGTAAATAGAGGGTCGGATTAAATTATAAAATTCCGAACAAAAATCCGGTGATGGGTTAAACTGCAGAACAAGGATAATGTTTGAAATATTGCCACTACTGTGACGTTTCCTTGTACCACGGAGCTTTTTTAAAACCAAAATCCGAAAGATTCTTTCACCTCCAAATTCACAAACCTTCGTCTGCGAAAGCCGGAGATTGAGCATCCGTTAAATAGAGGGAATTTCGATAACATGTGAATTTCTCCTCCTCTGGATCATACTGCCAAGTATAATGGTAGACCTGAACAATTTTTGCTCAAAACTATAGCCAGCAACATGATTTACAAAATAAAATTTGCTATATTAAAAATATTTCCAGCAAAATGAATATGCCGCAGTTTGCACTGACATCCGTAACACCCGATGCGAGTATACAAGTCTACGTCTCAAATTTCATTGCTGGAAAAACTCATTAAATACAGGAACGTCGACCCGCGTCTACAGCAAAAATGACAATTAC